TAGGGTAGTTGTAATAATTCGGGATAAACTCATTTCTACTTTCTGTTCAATGAGTTCAAACCAAAAGAAAATGGTACTCATCTTTGATAACCATATAATCACAGTTTTGACATATTAATATATTTTGGCCTACATCGACTTTGCTATAACGCATTATTGGTACTTTTAGATTACGGGCAAGAAAACGAAATTTGGTTAGTGTGCCGAATATGTGCCATGTGGTGTGTGGAGTTTGCAGCGGTAGAACGCGACACGCATCGGCTCCGTAAAATAGCATACGGTCGAAATACACATTTGACTCCACAACAGAAGCTGTAAGTTCAAAGTCAACACGTAAGTGTTCAGTGTGCATGAGCGCGGTGGGGAAGCCTCGTGCTTTAAGCGTTCGCTCGTCACGCCGAAACCCGGGTTCGATACCCGACATGGGTACATTGTGTGAAGCCCATTTCTGGTGTCCACCGCCGTGATATTGCTGGAATATTACTAAAAGCGGCGTAAAACAATACTCACTCACTGTGCACGTTGTCTTGTGAATAAGAACAAAATATTTTGTTCAGAGATATTTGACGTGTTTTATATTATAACAACGGTAGCCAAGTGTGTGAATGTGAACAGTATAGTTGATGTGTCTCCCGAATTGCACGAAGGACTACATGCATGGATATCTTGGTCCAGCGTTGGCTGTTCTCCTCCGAGGAGATATAAAGATCACTTCGCTTGTAAATCTATTAAACTTTCTGAAACTCTCCTATCAAGACAGATACTAACATGGATTATTTTGAATCAATGTATATATTTGAGCGGTCACGTGCTACCGGATTATGCAGACCGTGTTCCATGTTCATGCCGGGGGTGGGGTTGAGAACGGACAAGTTATCAATCGTATGTTCCAAGACTTTTAGAATTATGTTTGGACATACAGTCGAATGTCCGCGAAATAACTCCATTTAAATTGAAAAGGAGCCCCGGTGGGATGGGAGTTTCAGAACCTGAAGAAAATCTAGACTTGCTTCATTTAGGGCTTTTTCATTACACACGTTTTTGTTCTTGTTTTACGCCGCACTCAGCAATATTACAGCTATATAACGGCGGCCTGTAAATAATTGTGTCTTGGACAGACAATCCAGTGACTAATATCATGAGCATCGATCCACGCAATTGGGATACGATGATATGCATCAACCAAGCCAACTATCCCGATCCCGTTAGTCGCCTCTTACGACAAGCATAGTCGCCCAGTACGACAAGAATGCATGGGTTGATCTTCACGGGTCATCACAGAAAGGGATGGGCGGAAGGGAAAATAATATGATTCAGGGATATATATACGTATTAAGAGTGAATAATTTGATTTTAACATTTTCCACCAGAAAAATAAACAACATAAGTCACTATCGATAGATTAGTCTACACTTTAGTCTAAATGTGATGCAGTGTGTGAATTTAACACGCTTTGAACATTACTTATGTTAAAGCTCGGAATATATGATACGGTTGAACATCACGCGAAAAACGTTTGATTTCTACTTTTAACCCATGAGCAAGGGTATATGTTCGGACCAACCAGTGATTACAATCAGGGCGAAAATTGGGTTCGAATCCACGATCTGCTGATCCTGGAACAAGTGAGGCACACAACGTTGCAAAGCAATGTCGACTGTCGGTGCCCCTGTTTATTTAACGATACAGCTTGCACGGCCGGCGAGAACGGTAGTCAGGCCTGAGCTAGACGCAGCTGTGATCGATATGGCGTTGGATGCATGAGCAATTCTCCACGTTATTGGGTTAGATGACACGCTAAATCAACCCGCCATATCTCATATGTGATCCTCTGTGGGCGGCCTTATCGGTTAAATGGCCGAAAATCGAGCTGTGTCCGTTTACTGACCGTGGATCGAACTCAGTTTGGTCCCGATTATGATCATGATGGTAGGTCGGCATCATGATCATAACCATGATGGCTGCACTCAGCTGGTACCGTAATTGATCTGGGCGCTTTGGGCTTTCCACCCAGTGCACTGACAATTTGTGATAGAACTCACTCACTCACTCACTCACTAACTGCTCAAGGCTATGGTTTCTCGGGAACCGCGTATCCGCATTTCGTGGGGATTCATCACGAACTAGTTTTACCATATATGTCGTGTCTATCCCCGTCACCCCAACGAACCTCCGACGCTCAAACGCCATACCTAGACGCCATACCTAAACGCCATATAGTCATACCTATAGACGTCATACAGGGATACCTTAGACGCCAAACAGGCATACCCAGGCGCCATACAGGCATACCTAGACGCCATACAGGCACACCTTGACGTCATACAGGCATACCTAGACGCCATACAGGCATACGTAAGACGCATACAGGCATCTTAATTTAGGCGCCATGAAAATATACCTAAACGTCATACAGGCATACCCAGACGCCATACAGGCATACCTACACGCCATACAGGCATACTTAGACGCCATACAGGCATACCTAGACGCATACAGGCATAACTAGACGTCATAGAGGCATACTTAGACGCCATACAGGCATACCTAGACGCATACAGGCATAACTAGACGTCATAGAGGCATACCTACACGCCATACAGGCATACTTAGACGCCATACAGGCATATTATTTTAGGCGCAATGAGAATATACCTAGATGTCATACAGGCATACCCAGACGCCATACAGGCATACCAACACGCCATACAGGCATACTTAGACGCCATACAGGCATACCTAGACGCATACAGGCCTAAGTAAGACGCCATACAGGCATATTAATTTAGGCGCCATGAGAATATACCTAGACGCCACACAGGCATACTTATAGGCGCCACACGGGTATACTTCGTCATACAGGGTCACCTGACACCGTAGACAGGAAAATTTAGGCTTTTTATACATGTTATATACAGTTTTACTTTACAAGCCTGTGTATCAAATCCCAAATACTGCCATATGTCAACAAGTCTGGTCAAAGCCGCCAACAAATCAAAGTTATTGACCATACAACTCTACACTGTGGAAACATGGAAGAATAGCGGGCGTAAAAATTATTGTTAATTAATACATTCTCCTGCCTAATTTCATTCAGGACGTGGTGCCCCTAAGATCAATGCACACTTTACTTAAAAGATGAGCAGATAAAATACACCTGGTTTCAACAACAAACATTACGATCACATTACAGCATACATAACATTAACCGGGCCACAGGAAAGCGAACGAGAATATTCCAAGCACCTGTCATCAACCGGCGCCCCAGGGTGCGACTTAACCCCCACCATTTACATCCCCGCCCTCCGTCACATCAAGCCAACAGTATGCGAAGATCTGCTCCATCACGGCAGGGTGTTGTCGTAAACACGGGGAATGTGGGGCAAGGCCATCGCACTTCCTCCCTAGAATAAACAAGGTTAGACTAGTCCACAAAGTTGAGAATCCTAGATGGACGAGTCTACTCAACTATATAGGGTGTGAGTATTTGATAAGAAAGAAAATCCGTCGAGTTGGTTAAAAAGATAACACGTTTTGACTCAAAACCAATAGCAAATATTACTAGAGGTAAGCAATTTGTGCCTCCAATGATAGATAAAATGATTTACTGGAAACAAATCACACTCATGTAGTGGTACAAATTATTGGGTTAATTGATTTTATCGTGCGTGCAATGTATCATTGGAAGCTTCCGGAATGGGTCTGTTTACAACAGCCACGTTCGCAATAGCCACGTATATGTTCCACAAGTTTCTAAAACATTGTGGGTTGCTTCACTGGAGAATATGACCATTGTCAAGTGCAGATACAGAATTTTGGAATGACGGGGTGTCTTTTCGAGATTCGTGTTTACCTATTGTGTAATTATGTTGAAAATATCACCAAGTGGGACGTCATAGTGTTGTCATGCATTTTACTTTTAGCTTACCTGATCATCTAGAAACTTTCTGAATGTATAAATTTTAGTATGCCTTTGTGTGTGCGTGTGTGTGCGTGCCAGTTCATTTCAGGCGACATAGTTAAGACCAATGGGCAATCCACTCAGATTTCTGGCCAGTCATTCTATATATCTATATGCATATTGTGTATGTATACCAGAGCTAACTGAGCAAAGACAAGAGTTCAAACACGGCAAAATCATTATTAAAAAAATATGGATTAATCTCAAGTGATTGGACAAAGGTCATAGAACATTAACCATAATCTATCTTCCAAGTGCAGATCCAGCATTTTTAAAAAGGAGGGGTCAAGATATCAAGATCTTCTCGAAGTCAATTTTACTGCCAGCAACATACTACCCCTGTTTTCAGAGTAACAACTTGAAGGCAGTCCGGGATAACATGATCAAAACCGATGTCAATGTACATTTATCTGGCCTTATTGATCAAGGCCTTCCTACAACATAGGATTGTCTCGTGGTGAGGATTGGATCTGGAGACATAAAACCTTGATGCTGAAAGGAAATCATGAAACAAAAACAGACAAGTTGCATTTTTTTGAAAATAGATTTATTTTATGCAAAACTTTCTCAATTAAAAAAAAATGTCGTTTCCAAAAAGAAACTGTACATCCCACCATTCTGCAATGGCCTTAGCATTTTGCCAGTACAATCACACCTTCACTTCATCACAAGCCCCTGTCTGGTGGAACAGGGGATCTCTCTATCATATGGAATTATTTGCACTTTTCATACATTTAAGATGGACATTTCACACCGTGAACAGACTCTCCATTTTTCACTTTTAAGACTTAGCACCCATGGATAACAGTCTAGGATTGTACAGTTCATTGCCGATGAGCCTCCCTCTTGTACAGGTACATAATTTCCACTTAAGTTTTATTTCTTACAGTGTAAAAAATTGCACAGTTTAACTGAAGAGTACTTAAACTCTTAACATTGAGGATTGTTTTCAGGGGTAAAAAGAATGAAAACGAAAATGCAATTTTAACTTTAAAACAAAATTGAGTAATAAAATTATCCTATACATTTTCTACTCATATTTCTCTGTCATATAATCTGCATCAATATAAAACAGTTGATATTTGAAACTTTGGTGAGATAGTTCAGAGGTTGATTGAATTTAATGCGAGATTCCAAGTCCCGAATCACAAGGCACCTCCAGCTTGGTATACACAGAAGCACTGAGTTTGCCATTTATGCTTGTTTGGCATTCAAGTATACAACATCAAATATCACAGTTTCCTTCAGAATCAGCCTCGCGACATTGGACACACCAACTTGTCGAAACTGGAGACAAATTCTGACCTTGCTTCTCTTACAACCGTTCTTTAAAGCATCCATGCTTACAAGACATGATTATGCAAGCCAAATGGCTCTTGTTTGCCCTTCTTAGGACCCTGAGATAGATCTCTGAAATGTCATATTGAGCTAAATGTGTAGAGGTACCATCGAAAAAATGATTTAACTAAATATTACTAAAAGATCCATTTCCTAGTGTATGCTGGTCCACTATCATGCAAGAACCAATTAGTCTTGTAAGCAAGGAGGCAATTCATGATTAATTTGAGAAACATGTCATAGTATTCCCACCATATCTATACCAAAATGCACTGTTCAAATGATAACGGAATGATCCACTTGATTGACAGTGGAATGACAGTAATGTACAATGCACTGTATACACAGACAACATAATGGTGGTGACAGGGTACAGATGATGACGACAATGGTCATGAGAGTTTGGAGTTTATCCACTCCAACAATGAATGATCAATTCGGACATGATTCTGGAACAGTTCACACATATTTTGAATGCTTGGGCTCAGAACCTGGACACTCATTGCAGTTTCTGGATAAGAGTTCATGGTCTCTTGCAACTATCAAAAGCACTATGTCTGCTGCGAGTTTTTTTTTCTTTTTTTTAAATATGAGATCACCCCAACAAATGTAGTTTTCCACAACGTGTCAAAGGTAGCAGAGCCTGAATATCCTGAGTTGTAACAAAACCAGTGAAACGGAAACCCGACATGCACCACAAGGCAGCCTCCATTGCCGAGTTCGATTTCAAAGGCTCAATAAAAAAATACATGCAAATGTGTCAAAAATACAAACATAATAAAACAGGACGTAGACAATGGACGATACACACTGATGATGAAATAATGAACAATGTATGTAAAATGGTAATGATTAAAATACTGAATCTGTGTAACAAGTCTATGCAACATCTCTTCCCAAGAAGATGTATCTTCCCACTCGTTCTTCCTTTCTCTCTCTCTCATTCACCCAACCCGCAAGTTTTGGCTTCCCTCCCCTATTCCCTACGCACCCCAACATGATGAAAGACATGGCGATTGGTCTGACTCGATATTATCTCTATGTAAAACAGTCATTTTATGCCCAACTGCCAGAACTTGGCAACGAGAGGCTGTCAACACTGGTGCTTGATCCGTAGTGTTCCTCGTCGTCACTTTGGCTAGACCGCATCGCCCGCCTCTTGGCCAGACTCGAACCTCCAGGGGGCGAAAGTCTCATGCGAATTTGAATTTGTTCTTCCATTGAGTCACTGTCATCTTCTTCAGTCAGTGACTGACCCACAAAGAATGAGGGTGGGTCTGATATCATCAAGTGTTGTTGCATCATACGGTTGATAGAAATAGCTGCCTCCGCAAAAGATTCCAAATCCTTGGTACTGTTATTTCTGCAAGAAAACAGAATCATAAGCATTATGATAAACATTTAGCATGTGAATAATCAATTACATAGAATATTACATCATATCACATAGATGTATTAGAAATGGGGTTATCATTTTTAAACATATTATGATGACAAAGACTTAACTCTCATCCTTAATTTAAAGACTGCAAGTGATAGATTTATAGATGCTTAAACCACATAATAATTGGGAGAGTGAAATTAATTGAGACAACTTTGTAACACAACATACCTTGTGAGCACATGTGGAGTAGCCAGGGGTGTGGCCGCTGGTGGCTGGCTGACCCATGGATGTTTGAGAACATCAGCAGCTGAGTAACGAGCCCGGGGGTCCCGCACCAACAGATGGCGGATCAAATCCTGAACAGGTTCTGACACCTCACAGAACTCGCTCTCCGGGAAGTCGAACATGCCATCCTGGATGCGAGTGAAGAGCATCTCCTGGCAGTCCTGACAGTACTCGCCCCGCTCCCAGCCACAGTCCTCTCCGCACTGGCCGTAGAACGGAGGGTAGCCGCACAGCATGATGTACAGGATAATGCCCAGGCTCCATAGATCACACTTCTTGTCGTAGGAGAACGACTCGCCCACCCAGGCATCCACCACTTCAGGGGCCATGTATTCAGCTGAACCCACCTGAGGACACAAGCAACACATTTAGAAACGCTGTTATGAGACAAAATACTGTTCTCTTGTAACACCACTCATGCATCTTCAAATATTTTCACAGGTCTTTCTCACATCTATGAATACTTACTGGTGTTAGAAGCTCTGGGGTGCGGACATCAGAATCTCCACTCTTTGGCACTCCGCTTGCCAGGTCAAAATCGCAGATCTTCAATGGAACAACCTCATCCGATTTTTGACAAAGGATATTTTCAGGTTTCAGATCTCTGTGAGCAATTCCTGCAAGAATAAGATGCAAATACCATCAAAACCTGAATTCTCTGAAATTCATGAATGTATAAATCACCATTGTTACTTTACTGAATGAATTAATGTACAAATACATAAATATTAAAAATAATAATAAAGAGTTTCCTTACCTTTGCCATGTAAAAAGTCCAGAGCTTTTGCAATTTCCTTAACGACCAAACTGGCCTCTCGCTCTGAAAGGTGCCCTCTGCTCTCGATGTTGCCCAACAGCGTCCCACCAGCCATCTTGTCAAACACCAGGTAGAAGTGCTCCTCCTCCTCGAAGTATTCCACGAGGTTGAGGATGTGCTCATTCCCGCTGCACATGCTGAAGATCTCAATCTCCTTGAACACCTTGCTCCTCGACAGACAGTGATGCTTCTCAATTATCTTTACGGCATATTCCTTGTTGGAATCTTTGTTGACAAAGGTCTGGACTGAAGCATACGCCCCATGTCCAAGGATCTCACCTGTTGATTTGTACAGGTCTGCAAAGATAATATATAGAATCAGTTACTATCCAAGTAAATAAATGCAATTGTTAATATTACAATGAATAATACATAATTCAACAAATGTTAATTCAGTACGAGATGTGAGGTAAATGATGAGGCACTCACCGTCAAACTTCTTGACAGGAATGTCTGCGGCTCGTCGCTTCTTCTTGCGACTGCCCTTCTGTCTGTTTAGGTGGTTGTTGTTGTCCATGTCCGAGAATACCATCTCCATTTCCATCGTGAGTGCGTTATCCAACATCAGAGAATTCGGTCGGGGTGGACTTGGTCGTGATGTAGATGAACTGTCCAGCTGAAGAGAAAAACAACCTATTAGCATACTGTGTACATTGGAAAACAAGGATGCACAATAGTGACATCTTTGAAATATAAATACAAGACTCAAATAGTAAGTTACATACACACGTCCTGCCTCTATCAGCTTCAAACCCTGCACTGAACTCATTTCTTTCACTTGCCAGTTATCAGCCATGGATTCAGTTTCACAAACTGAAATTCCTGAACTTACCACCACCTTCATACAAAGTGAAATATCAATGACCAATCAGATCGTCAAAGCAAATTGTGACTATCCCTGCAGGGAAATCCCCTTTGGGACTAACCTCCGCCAATCAGAAGCAAGCTATCAGTGGTAGGTGATGACTGGTCTATTTTAAGAGGGGATTTCCTATGACAGCAGAAGCAGCCTGTTGGTGATCATTACACCATATTAGGTTGGATGACAGCCAAGCAGGGTATACAGACACATGACACAGCCTGTAGCTAGCATTACATCCACCAGGGCATGGAACAATGAACACAGTCAGTCATTCAATAAACTAACAGGCCACCTGCCTCAATAATGAGGTGATGCTTCAGTGAACACAGTATTTCTTAATGAGGGTTAGTGCTGAGAGCATTGATGTATTTATGGCCCAGAGAGTATTTAAACAAACAGAAGAGATAATTGACTGCTTGTTAGCGAAAGTGCCTGAACATGTTGACACAAACCTTTGTCTAAAATATCTGCTTGCACAACAACAAACTCCACATCAACAAAATGTAAATTTGTTTAAAAAATAATTTTACTTCGAAAATGTCTTTCATACTCCGCAGGTCAAATAAAAATCTGCCTTATGCTGCAGATATTTCAAGGTTGCTTATTTTAGTTTGTTAATACTAAGACCTAGTCAATCCTCAGACATGTCATTACGCTGCACTTCCTCCTAGCAAGCTAGCCACCACTCACGGAACTTGGCAATATGATCTACACATCCTCTTACACGTAGGTCTATCCTGTTAGGAGTGGACCTGTGCCATACTACGAGCCTTGGGTAACCAGTAACTAACATCAGTCATATTTATCCCGTCTTGTTCAAGCCAAAAGATGACTGATAAGAAATATTACATCAGGGAGAGTCTATCCAAAACCAAAGTTCACAACATATACAAAAACAGTTAACTAGACATGAATCTTGACTTGAATATTAATTGCTAATCTTAGGCCTAATTAAAATTCACTAGATCTAGATCTAATCAGCAACTTGAAAATTTCATGAGTTGACTAAATTACAAATTAGACCATGTGATTTTTGTTTAAATACCTGAAAACTCCACCAAAACTGAATCAAAATAAACCGTAAGGAAGAAAACACTTGATCAAATGTAAAAGTTCCACACCTTGCCTCTTCTTCCCTGGTAGCCTATCTCCCTCAGCTCCGCAGATACCTTCACCAGCTCTTTCCCTTCTATCGCTAGGCCTACCAACCAACATATCCTCTCTATAGCTTGTTCCTGACTGAGCTGATCACTTGCCAGTCAGCAGGTAAATATCTAGCCCTGTCTAAAATTACCATCGGGTTGGGCAATGAATGAGGGGGAAACGAAACCGCCGACTGGGGTTAACCCTGCCTCAGCCGAGCGGAGCTGTTGACATCAAGATCTATTTATAGCTGGCCTACCTCACAATCACTGTGTGGCTGGAGTGCGGGCAAAACAACAACAAAGGAAGCTCGACTCAATCATGACCAAGGTGATTTAGACACCTATAGACTGTTCCCAAAACAACCCGATCGCATGACAGTAACGTTACATTCAGTGACAATGTTTGCAACAAAGATGACATCATTGAATACTTACATTTCTCATAATGAATGATAATTTTTCCAAATAGTCGCTGGTGGTTGAAGCCTCTGCTGACACAGTGCTTTCTGTTTGAATTTCCAAAATATCCTGCCCTGATGATAGGAACAGTAGCCGTGCTTCGATCGACTTTCGTTAAAATGCCTCTCTCCAACGTTCAATTTGCTCAACTGACATTGCCATAACAGCTAGGTGGCTAAAAGCCCAACTTTCCCGATCACTCGCTTTCCTCCATTGTGGTACTGATCCTACACCCTGTGAACGGCTGGCTCAGCCTTATATAGCACAGCCGTGCTACGTGGAGGTTGAGTCACGCCACCTGACCACCAATCAGAAGCCAGACAGTCACCTCAACACTGTTTACATCTACAAACTCGCAGTACTGCTTGCCTAATCACTAGCTCTGAGCTGGGCTCGCCAGGCAAGTGGGTCAACTTTGAGCTGTGGCTAGTCTCATCTAGAATGTGCCGTTACAAGGCTGCACAGCTAGCAAAACACTGATAATAATATGGCTGCCTGCGCTATTATCAGCACGAAAACAAAGAACAGAAGTTCAAATGTGAGACACATGAAGGAGATAATCACTTATTGCAGTTTAATTGACGCTAATCCCCTCCACAAACAGCTAGACTGATATTGACAGAAGTGTTGTTTTTCTTTCAGTGAAGGTCAATTACCCTTAAATACTTTATTGACAACATTCTATTAATCCCTTGGTAACAGCAAAACTAAACTTTCAGTTTTGAAGCCTGTCATAGGCTTAGGTATACAAACATTATTCATTAACATAACACAGGTGCATAAAGGGCAGTTTTGTTCTGAGGATAACCTGTAGTGTGCTTTATGGGTGCAAGGTGGTAGAGCATAAATACTTCTTTTCATATAACTATGGTAGAAATCATGCAAAATCTCTTCAGTAGTTTTTAATTTGTTCCATTTATAAATTAACATTTTCCATACTGATTGTATTAATATATTTTTTCTCAAATCTCCAATTTCACATTATGATTTTCAGGTATCAGTGCAACAAATATACAACTTGAGCAACGCAAAACAGCTATTCATATATTTATAAATGACCACAGTACTTTTCATTCAACAAAAAGCAATTAGATATCTATCTTTATATAAGCTAAATCCCTGTCCTATAAGAAACATTGCATTACCTTTAGTTTAGCCAACAATTAGTTCATGGCCCACAATCTCAAAAGATTTGGTGCCATGCAGAGGACCTTGTTACAAAAGATATTTCTTACTTTGAAAGTTAAATGACAAAAATTTGAATAATAATTATGCTATACATATTTCACTTCAGTAAACAATGATCTATGATATATAAGTATATACGGTAAATCGTCACTAAAATGATACCCAAACTTCTAAAATACAACATAAGCTTAAGGCGATGCTGAGCTAAAGGAATAATTAATGTTTGTTCACCAACATTGTTACAGCCTTTTGAGCATGTCAAGTTTATAAACAAGTTTAGTATACTTTACTATTTGTTAAACTTCAATCCAAATTTCAAGAGGATAAAATCTGCTAAATCATATATAAATATATGAAATACCGAAAATGGCATATAAAATATATGCAGTACATGTTGCGCATAACAAAACAAATATTTGAAGCAGTATTTAACATGTTCAAAATATTAATCCGGTACTCATCCATGATTCCAAACTAAGTTAATTTGCAAGGCAAACTGGCAATATAAGGTGATTTTGTTCAAATATTTGAATAAAACATTTCTTTTTTTAACATTGGATCATTGCATTTAATGCAATAATTAATATGAAACCAAAACTTCTTCCTCTTCCTCATAATATTGGGCCTGCTATCAGTGAAATACAAGTGACCTCTACAAAACCATAACTTTTGCTTTAGACATGGGGCTGAATATCTGCCTCTGATCAGTGATCACATCTAGTTCAATTCCTGCTAATATTAAGACATGGATTTGGAAATTCAATCAATAGCTAAATAACAAAAATAAACAAAAGTAAAGTAAAATGTCTCATAGTTTCACAAATACTATAAAGTGATAATAAAAGTGTGAAAAAGAAATAAGGGAACAGACATGGACAACTAAACTTTCTTTGTCTAAGTTAAGTGAGCCGTAAGTATACACTTTACAATGTTACAGTTTGCAACACATGTTCAATACAGAATAGTCTAGAACCTTATTGATGTTAATCACAGTTGATTTCTGTTAGTCATGGGGCTGTGAGTGTTCAGTAACCACTCACAGTCACTGCCTAAGGCGCTTGCTGATATTTTCCAATTCAAGCATGCATGATCAGGGCAGTGACAATTAGCAATATAGACCTTCAACATGAGGCATTATCTGAGAATTTTGTCCAGATCGAAAGAAATATAAGTATATTACTATATCCTAATTTAGCAAAACACATGACAAACATGAAAACGTTTTCAAACGAAAACAAACAATATAGGTAGTCTAATATATATCGACATAAACATGATAAATGCCACGGTTTGACTCAGAGGCAAATATTATATGCATTCTCATTAATTTATTCATGTTAATTTTATTTTTTCAATTTTAATAATCAGCACCATGACTTTATTGCAGGGGTCGTCTCAAGGACTAATTAAAAAAAAGATCGCAGCTGAACGCGTCGATTCAACGAAGCGTATAAAGCCGATAAGTCGTGCTACAAGTAGCACTATCTCGAGGAATGTTTACATCACATCAAAGTTCCCTAGAACTTTCTGGGACGTTCAAAACAAAGCCGATATTACTTATCCGGTTATATAATAAATAATTTATTGGAATGCATTTGGGGCTTTGTATAATTTAAAAATGGGCTCCGTTGAAAATGACACTTACTTTAGTCATTTCTAAGTTAAAAATCCGGTTGTTTTCCATTACATGCACTCGCATCCCTCCATTATTTTTGCAGACCGCCGCCACAGGAATTCTCAGAAACGAGGCTGCATAAATTAATGAAAAATATCGTTATTACAAATGGGCAAATCTCATAAAGTCACAAGCATTCACAATGGCGGCTATTACGACATCACAGCACTTTGAAGTTAACGAGGTCTCATCTGACCAAACAAGTAAAAAAACAGTGGAAACAGTTTTACCCACAATTCCCGTGAAGGCTTAGACGGAAGTTAGGTTAGCGGCGGACTTGTGGTGTTTTGTTGTGACTAAATCTAAACAAATATCTTAATAAGTATGGATCTTCCCAAGCCCCCAGATGGTAAGTTTATATATAGCTATATTATATGTATTATCTTCACAAGTCTTTCTTTAAAAAAACTCGCTTAGGTACCAGACAGTCAAGATCAGGGAATAATTGTCACCTGTTTTCGTGCTATTTCACATGGTGGCATGCAGTAGTGTGAATCCTTTGGTGTGTTTACAAAGACATCGTCGAATGTTATACTTAGTATATTTTAAAGATGTAAGCTGTCAGTAGATTTACATAGCGAATTTGATCGAACCATATATCAATATTAGGTTAATTGGACATGTCTTTGTCAAGAAGAAGGCAATAGCCTATTAAATTATGTTATGATAAATGATGGTATATAAATGAGTTGGCGTCATCAGCAGATTAGTGTCATAGTGTTAGGTAAGTAACTGGCCCTTCTTAAATCGTTTATGTGTTAAGAAGTTAAAATAGACTTCACCCCTTGAAATGTTTCTATTTGTGGTTATCTGGGTGCAATACACAAGATCAGGCATGTTATAACTGATTAACCATATTGTAGTGACAGAAACTTGAAGACAGGTTCACTATTTTATATTTTCTTATTATGGGTATTATTAATTATTACTTAACTGTTTCTATATAATTTTATAATTCTCCTTTGTGGATGTTTTAGACTTGAAAATTTGGAAGAACGTGATCTCATCAGTTTGCATATTGTGCCTTTTATTAACACGGCAAAATACACATTTTGGTATCACCACTTGGTACCTGGTAGATAATGGAATGTGACAACTGAACTGTTATCAAATGTCATCAGGATCACCTGTAAGTGTTCGTAGATTGAATCACAAACAAGCATATTTGAAGCTGCCCTGGAATTTCCACCTAAACCAAAGCCACATCACTACACTTTGTCAGTAATGATTGAAACTTTGTGACCTATGGCATAGATCCTCCACCTGAGAAGTTGTGGGTGTATTTGAAAGTTGCTAAATATATACCTAATAAACAGCATTCCTGTGCACAATAATAAAGACTGCTAACATCATGCGACTGGTCAACTTCAAAACTTAGGCCTGTATAGTATCTGTATCTGCATTGCTATTGACGCCACGAGTCTGCTTTTTAATCTTTAGACGAAGTGTTGTGATAGAAAGTATCTTAGGTGGAAATTCCATAACAGTTTCCAAAAGCCAAAACATCTGACATGTCCGAAAGATGAAGTTCTTGTGGTAAACAAACAGGTTGATTTATAATGGTTCAGTGGTTGGCGATCATGTAAGATTCAGAGTATTTTTTATGTTCATGATTCAGAAATACAATAGTGAATATCTGTCATTAGGAATGAGAGGAGACAGCTGTTTTCCCGGTCCCTGCCCATAATGATTATCATTCGTACATGTAGTAATAGTTTCAACAGAAGGAAATGTGAGTAGAACCCCAGAAAAACCCCTCCACTATCACTGTTGTAGCACAAGGCAGACTCCTTTGGAATTCAAATACAATGTGTCTGGTGAAGTCACAGTAACATTATAAGTGTCATATATTTACACAGCAGTAGTAGCGGTTGAAAATAACAGTTTTAGTCCACTAGTCCTTATTATAACATTTTGCAAAACCCATAAAAAGGGCAGATTTCTACTATTACTTATGATACCTAAACTATTGGACTAGTGGGGGCGGTCGGGTAGCCTAGTGGTTAAAGCGTTCGCTCCTCACGCCGAAGACCCGGGTTCGATTCCCGACATGGGTACAATATGTGAAGCCCATTTCTGGTGTCCCCCGCCGTGATATTGCTGGAATATCGCTAAAAGCGGCGTAAAACCATACTCACTCACTATTGGACTAGTGCCAATTTCTAACGCTGAGTAGTACTCTTTGAACTGGTGCCTATGCTATGCATTGAATGTTGTAGGGCACGGGTGACCAAGATGCTATGTTTACATGTAGTTGGCAGGTCAGAAACATATGATCTCGGGTTCATATCTGGGTTCACCCTGATTTTGTTTCTAGGTTTGTGAGCACCATGGTCGTGAGTTCACCAGCGGTAGAAATTGGCACTAGTCCTGTAGTCCTTGCCAAACTGCCCAATAGTAAGGTATCATAAGGACTAGTAGAAATTTGCCATTTTTAAGGGTTTTACTATATGTTATCATTATAAGGACCTGTGGACTAAAACTGTTAGTTTCTACCGCTGTTTACAATGGTGCACAATGTGGCATTAAGCCCAGCTCACTCGCTCATTGAATATTCTCTAGGAGTCTCAGATGTAATTGTTTGTTTCCTGCAAACCTCAAAGTCGAAATATTTACCTTGGCCTTGATGCCAAGTAACACATAAACACTAGGGAGAACAGCTTTGAGGGTTGGTTAAATAGCAGCACCAGTTGTGGTTTGAGTCGCTACGTAATAAATATGTTGTAAGTGATTGTGTGCCATTTGATTGGCTAACCAAGCAATTCTGTTTGTTTCCATAAACCCAAAAGTGTGAGGCCACACCACTAATGGATTCTGTTTTCTGATTGGCTAATAATAGAATCCGCCGGCCTTGTGTTGCATTATTGTGTTTAACGATGTCACTGATTTCGTACTGTTGTCGACAGGTTTGTCATAATAATAATAATAATCATAATAATTCTGGTAAATGTATTTATGTATTATTAATATTGACTTCAATACGTTTTTGCATTTATGCAGGTACAAACACAGATTTAAACAGTACATGAATGCACACCAGTTTTTATGTTTTTACCTCCATAAACGCAAAAAAACCACATACTATTACCAGACAAAGAAATGTTTTGATGAATGCCCTACCCTTATTTACCATGGCTTCTGGCAGGAATTTTTCCATGTTGTTTGAATACAAGATTCACCCTGATTATTATGCTTTTTAGTGTGATTTTTTATTTGTCAGCTCCCCCCTTTGCTCATCTATGGGGTTTCACCAAAGTTGTAAACACAGTCATAGTGGCCCAGTTGACATACATTCCTTTTTTTATCTAAAAACAGTGAGAAATGTCCTTGGCCCAATTAAGCTGAACAAATCTCATGGAAAGGGATAAATATAAGAATATAAGAATATTTTCTTTAAAATGAATTCTCCTCATTGGCAACTTGAATTCCAAAGGTCATACCCAAACATTTTTGTCAGTGCCCACGTCACACTTTAAAGAAAACAGACCTGTGAATATTCGGGTTAGAATAGGTCTTCAACAACCCATGCTTGTCTTAAGCAAGTGGTAAGAAGCAACAAGCAGAATAAGGTGGTCAGGCTCGCTGACTTGGTTGAAGCATGTCATCGTGTCCAAATTGCGTTGATTGATGCTCATGATGTCAGACTTGATGATTTTACAAACCGCCATCATATAGCTAAAAAGTTGCTGGGGGTGGCATTAAAGAACAAACGACACCAACTTTAATAAAAATGTCTATACCTGCAGATACTTTGTACATTTTTGCTGTTGAAACATGGTCATCCTGGGATCTGTATTTCTTAGTCTGACACCCCAAAGTGTATAACCCAGGACTAGCAAGGTAGACACCAAGGTACTTCTCTGAGTAAATAGAATCTTGGGTCAAGTAATGCACAGTTTCAATGAAGCTGATTAGCTGTATGACAATACTCACTGTTTGTTGGTCCAAGCATTGTGATTCTTCTTTGTGAGGGGTAAGATAACAAGGTGCCAATTAACATTAAGACCTTCACGCTTTGTGATTATGTTATGATCTGCTGTAAAGCAATAACAACTGCATTGATAGCCCTTTTGTACATGAGTCAGTGTGACAGCTGTGTGATAGGGTGATGTGTGTCAGCCATTGACGAATAAGTTTCAGGGCGTACCTAGGTAAATCGACACATACCAAAGATGTGACTGATTTTAATACTTTTGGAATGATATAGAAAGTGACAAATCTTTCAGTATCTAGGTGCATTTAATAATGATGGTGTGATCATATTGATTATTTTTGCCAAGTTGCAAACAAGACTTCATGTGTAGTCTGCCAATTGGTCTCTTTTATAATATATATGATTGATTGAAGTTTCACAATTTGAAGTCATTGAGTGTATACTATTGTTGATAAATGCAGTAATTTCAGTAAATACAGCTACTAGTCAGCAGTGAGCTGGTCACGAATCTGAGACTGTTCAAAAGTTGTAACATATTTTAATCATAAAACCTTATCATACTTATATATTGAGGTCAAGGGATCCTTGTCTTAAATGTAATGTTAAAAGTTAAATTCATGGGGCCTCCTAGATTCAAAATACTATAGCAGGAACCTGAAGGTAAACAAATTCCCCAGAATGTTCGGTTCTCAGCGATGAAGAGGGATTTTCAAATCTTTTTGTCTGCTGTATTTATTTTGCTATTACTGTGTCAAAAGGTAAGCTGTCAGATACTTAATAGCATAGGGTACCTATTTCCTATGATGGGGGACAAGTGTGGTATAAGTGGATAAAAGGTTCACTTGTCATGCCAAAGGCCTGGGTTCGATTCCCCATGGGCACATTTTTTAAAACCCATTTATAGAAATAGCTATTGTCCATTTTGTTACATGTTCATAATTAAAAGTTACGATACAATTAAGGAGCTGATTATAAATGGTTTGGTTATTTCTTTTCAGATGAATAATGTATTAAACATAGGTTAATATCTTTTCACTTTGTTTTCTCTGCGCTTTGTAATCCTGAAGTATATGCAAACTAAATGGTAGCCATCTTGGAAAAATGGCCACTTTTTACATTCCTTAAACAGCCATATCTCAAAAGGTGTTTGACATAATTTAAAAAAGAAAAGTGTTCTTTTTATTCATATTTACATGAACTAAAAGTAGATGTATAAACCTGAATAAAATAATGTATGTTCAAAATGAGCCTGACCCCCTTAGTACTAGGACAGTGTAAACCCACGTCACTCACTCACCCTACCATATGGTGCCCAGGAACCCATGCTAGCCAGAAAAGAGGGCAGAAATGATGATTGGTTAGTTTCAATATCTGTCACCTGGCTCATTATCATAATTAAACTCTTCCTACCAGCC